GCCTCTCACAAAGTGCTACAACCTCCCAGCATGTGCCATTCTGAATCTCCTTGTATGCTCTTTGACAATCACACACTTGATTCTTGACCCTAATAAAGGTAACCAACCTAACTATGTGCAAAGCTGATTTGAGATGAGCAGCACACATTAATGACAGAATTCCAACAGTTTAAGGCCATATTAGTATGGCAAACTCCATACTCTGAGAGAATAAAGACACAGTAGACAATACTGCAACTCTGATCAAGGTTACAAACTACAAACCATTGTGTCACTTGAATTACACTACGGAAGAAGAAAAGCAGGCCTTATAGTATCACTGAAGTGTGCAGTGCAGCGCTTGCATTTTTGACCTGGCTGTGCCGTTTAGGATAATAGAAGAAACACTTTTAGTGAATTCAACATAAATCCCCATTCTGAGATACACTGGTAGAACAAAAGCTCTTACCCCCTTCCCTTCTTTTTTTCCCCCTTGATACAGGCTGATTAGCTAATTTAATTTAAAAATAAAAATTGATTAAGCTTTTCCCAGCACAAGCTATATCTGGTTTAGGATATTGTCAATGTAGCTTCACTGGTAAATAACAAGTGGAGATAGAACTAAAACCTGGTAACTATAAAAAAAAATTTAAAAAATTATGTTCACTTTGCTATAACAATCTTTATAAAGTAGAGTTTTACACTCAGCACTACGGACTTACTCCAATGTATATTAGTTGCACATTTATACACAGTAGGTCAGCAAATGAAGAGAATGAAAATAACTTCACAAATCACCTGCTGAAGCTGAATGAGAGATTATATCTGAGGTGATATTAAATATAGAAAGTTTTATTATTATTATTATTATGCTAGCCACTTAATGTAAGCTGTAAGAATGGATAAGTGGCAGTGAAAATGGTGACCAAAAAACTGGGTTAAACAAAGTTTTAAAAAAACCCAACCTGAAAATTTACTGTCAGAATAAACAATTATATTAAAACACAGTAACCAAACATAAGCCACTACAAAATAAAACAGACACTATCCATACAACTCACAAAAAGAAAACATGTTATCTGACCCTGCAGGACCTTTGATTCTGCACAGACTCATACACAGGCTGGATTTCATTCATCTGAGCAGAAGTTAGAAGTGCCAGTAACCAATAAGAACAGGGTTAAACCTACTCCAGCAGCAAGCAAGGACTGGAATTAAATAACTGTTTAAGAAACTATGTGCCAAAGGTATCAGCCTTTGATTTTAAAATAATCAAAAGCTTTAGATGAAAAATAATTATAAATACTGAATTTACAGAACTTTAGCTTTGACATGCTGTGTGCCAGCTTCAACATAAATTGTATGTCTGAAATTGCCTAGATGAAGGTATAGCTGAAAAATGTCTGACTAATTTGATAAAGACTAGTTTTACTGAGAATAACAGAAAATCTAAATGGAGTTAGCAACTTCAACTACTTAACCTAAACAAACAACAAGTATTTACAAGGAAACTCTGTTTCTACAACAAAGTTACTAACGGTTGTTAGATCTCGCTTCAGACAAGAATGAGACTTTATCCCGTGGCTCAAATAATGCTTATACCAGAGTACCACACATAGGTAACACTGGCCTTAATGACAGCACTTTTAAAACATAAAGCGATGCTGCTGAAAAGTGTCACATACATAAAATCTGATGTCAGCTTTTTATTCTATGACGGCATGGAGATACATCGTTAGCTTCACTTTTTCAATTATAGTATATAATTACCACCTTTTGGAGCAATTCAACAGTAAAGACTATGTTACCAAGGAAAACTGGGAAGCACTGGAATCTCACTGCATTTTCAAAAGCAAATATTAGGCCTAGTTGATGAGAAAGAAGAATAAATATTCCCACTATAATAAACATTTAATTTCAAATACTTGCCTTAATCTACAACATTTCACATACCTATGCTGCAAACATTCCCACTACATAGCACACCTCAGCAGGAACAAACAGTGCAATACAGTTTGCCAGCACAATTTCAAGAAAGGCTGCTTGAGATCAGTTACAGTGAAAAGGAATAATAACAGAGAGTAAGGTTATCCTCTATTAATTAGAATGTGAAAAGCATCTTCATTTAACAGGATTCCACAAGCTCTGAACTGAAAGAAGACATCTTCAAAATGCAAAATAAAGGCAACACACTTGTTTCAACACTCTGCTTTGCTTTTAACTATTTTCTATTTTTATCAACAAGTGGCATCTAAACTGCTTAAGAGACTTGCAGCATGCCTCTTTGGCTCTATCACTCTACTCCTCATTGCATTCACAATCCAGTTCCACTTTCAGCTTATCAGCCTTAATGTTATGCTCTGCATGGTCAGTTATTCGGTAGGTTTTGAAAAGCTCAATAGATTAATTGCAGCAATATGCGATACAAGACATTTCGAGAACTAGCATCTCCAACAACCATTTTACTGGAAAACTGAAAAGTTCAAATTGAATAAACTACTATACATTTGCATAGTCCAGTAATTTACTGTCTCCAAAAACAAATCAATTAAATAAGCCAGAACTTTTGGAGTTCCCCCCAAGAATTATTAAAAGTGTACTTGTAGGACTGTCCATGTGTTACATGGAGGCTACTCCAAGAGAACACAACAGCACCTGGACTAGATCACTTCACTCAACACCCTTTAAAATTATTACTTTCCACATTTAATACTTTTTATGTATACCTACATGCACATCTACTTAAGCAAGAGTTCCATGCATATGTGAAATTGGTCTCAATGACAGGACTTTCTAAACATAATGCAATGCTTCTGAAAAATGTCACACAAAAACATAAAACCAACAAGGAGATATGTTGCCAGGAGGATTTCTAGTGGAGTAATTGATGCTAGTCATTGTATACAGAAAATTAAAGTTTTAACATGTGCTGTCCAAGGAACCAGGATTAATAAGCTAATCTATTCAGAAAAATGCCTATTTAATAAAAATTGAGTTTTCTGAGAAGATGCAGCTTAGAAATTCTCTACAATTAAGACTGCAACATTAAAAAAAAATTCTTTGTTCTTGACTCAAGAATAAAGGTTGATCTCAAGAATAAAGGTTGCTATTTATCTGCCTGTAGTTCAGCCTGTTCAATCACTCTTAAGAGATAAGATATCACAGCATACAAACTGTTGAACTTCCAAAAATTGTTAGATATAAGTAGATGAATGGTACTGGGTACTGCAAGCATACACTGACCTCTTCCCCCCATCCCACCTAAACCCTCTGGCCTACAAAACATTTAGGTCTCTTGGCCTTCAAATAACGAACCAACTCCAACTGACAGTAACTTCTTATCTTAAGGAAGAACAGTAAAAAGCTCACTTCCTCTGTGAAAAGGATAAAATTGGGAAACACAGCTGTGTTTTGGAACTTGCAAAGATTATTTTGTAAATAATAACCATCTGTCCTTGAACACGCCCTTCTGAGTGTGCACTGATGCTCCACAGGAAAATATACTTCAGCATCCAACACACAGGTTGGACAGAGTTTGGACATCCTGTGTGATGCGTTTCAGACAAAGTATGAGTTATAAAAGAACTATTTTCGTGAAACATTTTTCTTTTTAGAAGGAAAAAATGTGCATGAGCGTCTAATCGCACCTGACGGGCAGCCCGGGCACCATGAAAGGAAGAAAGTTACCTTTCACCTGAGAGTTACCAGCAAAGCGCGGGGCTCAGCACAGGCCGTGCGCTTGTGCAAACCACCCGGGTCCAGGGTTGTCAAGCGCGCAGGGGAAGCGCTCGGTGCCGAGGTTAAACCCTGCCTCCTCCCGCCGCGGCGAACGGCGGAGCTCCGGCCGGCGAGGTGCGGCGGGCGAGGTGCAGGTGACACGCTGCTGATGCCCGGCGGGCCGGGAACGCGCGTCACCTGCCAGACCGCCGGGGCCGGGAGGGCTCCCGCAGGACGACGTCTGACCACCGCGGACCCCGACAGGCCGCCGCCAGCCGCCCCTGGGCCGCGACTCCCCCTGCGCCGGCCCAGCCCTGCCCGTCGGCGGGAGCGGGGATGCTGATGCTGCTGCCGCTGCCGCCTTACCTGAGCCAGGACCGTCGGGAGCACACGCGACCGCAGGCTGTAGCACGCCGCCAGGCAGCCTCCCCCGAGCAGGAGGGCGGCCCCGCGGGCGGGCGGGCGGCGCTGGCCCCGCGGGGGCCGCATCCCGGCGAGCCGCCCCCGCAGCGGGGCGCGGGCCCCCGCCGACAGTGCCGCTCTCCACGCCGCAGACATCTTCCCGGAACACGGCGCCGCCGCCGCGCCGCGCATGCGCCGGGCCCGAGGCAGGGGGGCGGCTCCGGCTCTGGCTCCGACTCCGGGTCGGTCCCGCCTGGATCGCCCCGTCCCCGCTCCACCGCGGGAGCGACGCCGCCCGCACCGCCGGAGGGGACGGAGCTGGCGGAGAGGTAACCTGGAAGGAGGTGATAGCCAGCTGGGGGTCGGCCTCTTCCCCCAGGCAGCTAGAGGCAGGACGAGAGTACGTATCTTAAGCTAAGCCAGGGGAGCTTTAGGTTGGACACGAGCAGGAGTTTCTTCACGGTTAGACATTGGAATGGGCTGCCCGGAAAGGTGGTGGAGTCACCATCCCTGGAAGTGGTTGAGGAAAGACTGGGCGCGGCAGTCAGTGCCGAGGTCTAGTTGACAAGACAGTGTTCGGTCGCAGGATGGACTCGATGATTCCAGAGGTCTTTTCCAGCGTAAAGGATTCCGTGATCCTGTAACGCAGGCGGAGGTGCGCAGCAGTGACCGGCGCCACAAAGGCCGCCGTCCCGCCCTGGAGTCGCGCCCGCCCCTCGGCCCCGGTGCGGGGAGCCCCCATGGGCTGAGGAGAGGCCGCAGGGCCCAGCTCCCGGCCTTTCCCTGGAAACACCTCGAACGGAGCGGGCTCCCGGACCGGGGCCCTTCCCTGCGGGCTGTGGCTGCCCCTGGCCTTCCCCTGGGAAAGGGAGAGGGCCTGGCGAGTTCCTGGTGAAGGGGAAAGACGGTCAGGGCAGGACCAGGCGTTTATCTGTGCCGGGGAAGGGAGCACCGCAGGCCTCCCTGTGCGGTGGGGAATGAAAAGTGGCGGCGCTTGCAGGGGCTCTCCGGTCCCGGGGTGAACCTGGACGCCCTCTGTGTCTCTCGCTGAGCTCACCTTATTCCCTGCTGTGGCTCTTCTCCCTGAGCTTTAAGCCCCTGCTAAGTACATGAAGACCAGTGGTTCGTGAGCGGAGTTCAAAACCCTGTGGGAAGCCCGGTTTACTGAGAGAGGCAGCTTAGGTGACCTTCCACAAGCAGGGCTGACCTGGCACTGTGCGCTCTTCGCTTTGGGTTTTCTGGGTGTTGGAGATGTCACGTATGGGATGTGTTGCTTGGTGTATGATCCAGACGAGAAAAACCAAAAGCATGAGCAAGTTGAGAACATCCTTTTTAAGAGCAGAGTATAGAGTTTCTCATGAAGTACAGGTAACAGGAGATGCTGTTTGCAGAAACTGTCATGGCAGAGGTGTTCACTGAAAAACATTACAGAACGATTTGATTGGCAGTAATCACTTGTGTCAAAAGACAGCTATTCACTGTGCATGCCTCAGGGTGCTTTTTTCTCCCACTGCCATAGTTTTAACAAAGCTCTCTAGGTCTTGATTAGATTGAGTCAATTGCTCACAGTCAAACATTAGTTAGTTGATCACAGTCAGAAATTGGGCCGTTCCAGAATCAATGCTAAGATCATATGAAATAAAAGAGAGAGGAAGCTAAACAACATCTGTATGTTGGCAGTACAGGTATCCATGTTTTCAGACCAGTTCACCTAGTGACTCCATGTGAACGTGGAAAAGACTGGTGAAAGAATGGCTGCATGCAGTTTCCTATTACTTTGGTCTTTGGAAGAAGGCCTTCAGAAAGTACTCAATCTGTTTTAGCAAACTGTATCTTTCAGTGCTTTCTGATATGACAGCCTATGTTGTCAACATTACAAATGTTGTGGTACAGGCTCTGAGACATGGAAATGCTTTTTTTGCCCTTTATCTACTGATGAAAGGTGATAATCCATCAGTGCCACTAAAGTAATTTTGGAGTCATGAATTCAGTTTTATAGGTGATAATTTCAGTCATTTAACTAATGGCATCTGAGATTTTATCCAGTCTTGCATTAGCATATATTCTCTGCTGAGTGTCATTCTGCAAAGTGTTTGAGACATCTTTGGGAATCACAGGACCCGAGTCCTTAGTAGGATACAAATCCTTTGAAAAACACCTTTGGGGAACACTGCTCATTGCAAAATCACCCAAAAATGCAACGTGTAGGGTGAATGGTTTCCATCTCCACATACTAATATAAATTGTAAAATCTTTTTCCTTTTCCCAGAGACCTAGAAGTTAACTCATATGGGAAAAGTTTTTTTAATCCCCAGATACTGCAAAACATAGGCACAAAATCCCTCTGTCATTATACACAAACACATGCAGCAAAATCCTGCTTCTGCAGAGATGTAAAATTTGCAGCAAATTCCTATCCCCTATTTCTAATTCCCTCTAGACAGACAAAATATTTTTCATGCCAAGTTTGACACAGAATATTTGTACAAACATATTAAAAGTACTTTACTTTCTGTGTCAACCAGTAACCAAGCGCTTTATGAATGCTGGCAAATTCTAGAAACATTGTAAAGGATGTCAAGAGTGATTTGATTTCTGAATCTGATTTCTGCCAGATCACTTGATGTTGAACACACTGTCACAATACAGGTAAGCAGGTTTAGTTCATTACTCTGCCAGGCATTTTCAGTTTTTCTTTAGGTAAGAACAAATAAGTAGGTCATTTGTCTTTCCTCAGATGACTTTCCTGACTGGAACAGATACAGCTGCAGTGTGAGTGGAGAGTTATCCTCGTATGGCTGCAAGCACGCAATGCTGATGTGGAAGTTAAGTGTCCTCAGCCACCCCGTCTCTCCCTGCAGTAAAAGTCACCCCGTGGATGGAGAGTCCAGGAGTGCAGAGCTATGGCTGCACTAATGTTGCTCGCAGTTGTGTTGCTGCAACAAGGCCGGTACAGTTGTGAGTGCTAGAACACAGGCCTAAATAGCTAGAAAACTCTTGGCTGGGAAGAGAAAGTCCTGTTTCACCCCTTGAATTATCACTGCAGGGTAGTTTATGACAGAAAGCAAAGCTCACTGTGGTCTATAGAAATGACACTGACAGTCTGGTAAATATGAGTTTTATCAGACAAACTGAGCTATGTGGTGACAAATGTCGTCAGCTACTATGCCCTGCAGCACTAAAATGTTAGCTCCCTTTCCCATCCTGCTAAGTTTGTTCTTCCTTGGCTCTTGTAAGCAGAAATCATTACATTTAGCAAGTTGACATACCTGCTTTTTAAAAACATACTTTCTAATGTTGACTTCAGACTTTGTACCAGAGGTGTTTGCATTGCTGAAAAATTGAAAAAGCAAATGAAAAGACTAAGAAAATATTTTCTGAAATGTTTAAAATGTAATTTTTCCATAAGAGTCAATGTTCCACTGAATAGTTATGTAACAATACGTAAATGCAGTCTTTTCATGTTAGGCGTAATGGATACAGTGTGAAGCTACATCAAAAGATAAAAACATATTACCATGAAACAAACCCCTTGTGAGTCCTGTGATTCTTAGGAAATCATGTTTGGCTGAAACTTAATTTCTTTTAACTTTTGTTACAAAGTCAAAAGCAAAAAATTAAAAGCGCCAAGTAGACATACATCTCCTCATGCCTGAAGGTCAACTTCCACATCTCGGTGTCTTTTAAGAGTGTTAGACCAAGTTCCAGCAGGGATTCACTCTCTGCTAGATCTCCAATCCTCTCAAGAGCATTAGGCTTAGTGCCAGCATTCGTTTACTCTTGTAACAGCTTAAATTAACTCTTGTTACATTCTATCTAAACCCTTTCTTACAGAATAAGAGTTGAGAGCTGGATTCAGTCCCCTAGTTTGAGGGCCACCCATCATGCTAGTCTGTCTTTCAGGATTTCAAATGCTGCATAAGCTGGACTGGGGAAGGCAATGATCAGCCAGTGGTAAATTGAAGGAGGGGCTGGCGAGCCATCTTTTGTATGCATGTCCCTGTTTCCTGAGAAATAGTGTGGGGGTGGTCTGGTTTATTTACCATAAGTACATGTGACAGTAAGCTCCAGCCAAATGCAGGATTTGAGTAGGCTAGGCACTGTGCTAACAGTATTTTCATACTTTCCTGGAGGAGCTGAACAGACAAGCTAATTGAAAGACAGGAAGTATCACTGCTTGGTTTTATAGGTCAAGAACTGAACTGTAGATTATATTTTACCCAAAGTCAGATAGAAGACTGAAATGAAATGCCTCACAAAACCAGGCCCTCTTTAGCCCCTTCAAAATTACATCGGTCCTCTTAAGAATATCACTTATATTTTGCTTTAACGGACATGAGAGCAATCTGTCTGACTGTGATTACAAGGCAAACACTCTGAAGCAGGTAAGGATATAAGCACAAGGAGGGCAAGTTTTGCTAAAAGTGGTAACACAAAATAATCTTAGCACACTTAGAAAAGTGCAGGGTAATTGGATAGAACTGGACAGTCATTAAAGTTGGTCAGTTGATACCTTGATCTCTATCCAGAGTCTCTAAAGTCCTGGTCTTCACTAGATGAAGTACCAAGGTCTTCATTAGTTGGCTTCAGGGATTTCCAGAGCTGTTTTGTATTCTAGAAAGACCATTATATGTAGAATATTTAGAACCTTTAAAGGTAATCTACTCCCTACCACCCTCCCCTCCAATGAGCAGGAACATATTCAGCTAGGTCATGTTGCTCAGAGCCCTTTTCAACCTTACCTTGAGTATTTACATAATTTCTACCCATCTCACTCCATGAGAAAAAAATCCCAAACAAACAATAAATAGAGGAGAGATCAGTTTCAAGGAAGCTGAAATACCTTTCTCTGATGAAGAAGTTTTAAGATGACAATGTGCTGTTAGTTTATAGAAAGTCCAGTTGTTCTGTATGCTTTTGAGATGGTGGAAATGGAATTATCAGAGAATCAACATTCATCCACTAGTAAAACTGAAAATAAATGTGAACATTTTGTGCCTAGATAACACTGTTCTGTCATAAATAAGAGTTCACAGCCATCTTTGCATTTAGGAGTACGCTATAAATATAGCTTATCTTCAAGTATTTTCAGCTTGCTGGAGTTACTTGAAAGCTTATCATGATAGAGTCCATTTAAAAGGAAAAGAATTAAAATTTATCTAAGATATGTGTCCCCAAATACCTCTCATAGCATTCATTTATACTGACCTTTCTAACGTACTATCTTCCCACAGTCCTTGTATATAGTTAGCTGAAAAAACACCTTACTGGCATTTATAAAAAGTTCCCTCAAACTTCAGAATTACTTTTTTTCAGTCAAGTTTAAAAATCAGAGAAAAAAGTTAAAAGCAAAATTCTTACTTTAAAAAAAAAATAAATTTGAGAGTGGAAAATACCAGTAATGTAATTGCAAAGATTTTAAAATACAGTTTCTAAGTTGTCAGCGACCTTTTTCTGATAAATATTTGATTCATAAAAGAAATGTTACAAAGAGTTTTGAAACACTGCTTTTATGTGAATAAAAAATGCAGGTCAAAACCGATACTCTCTTGTGAAAAAATATGCTTTTCTTTTTTTTTTTAATTTGAAAAATATGTTTGCTATGACTTTCCAAGTGAGGCTGTAGGTCTCAATTTTGTGACAAGTTAAATATATTATGCCTAATTTTAAGAATTTTGGAAAGTTCTGTGGTCTTAAGCAAGACTACTTTGACTCCATAAAATCAGCTATAGACATAAATCTTTGAAGAGTGGGGACTTTGTTGCTATTAGATAAGAACTGTTGTTCAACTTCTATTTTATCTTTTAATGATAACATCCCATGACATTTTTGCAACAATAATAGAGGTTCCCTGAAAATGCTTTAAGTAATGGAATTACATTACGTATTTTAGTGATTAGTTTTTTCTCCTTTTTCCAACTGAGTAAATTATACTTCATTTTTCTTCCCTTCCAAACACTGATTAAAAAGGTAGACCTATACCTAAGTGAAATCCTATAATTCTGACTTTTTACCTGTCTTTTTATGCACATATCTATGTGTTCATATTTATATATGTATTTTGCCTATAATATACTAATCGTAGGTTTTCCTGAAATCATATGTAAATATAAAATTTTATTGCAGAGACCTTGCTGCATTTCAGGGTGTGTTTCTTCTCTTTTCTTTCATTATCTGAAATCAGTGTGAGCATTGCAATCAATTTTAATTATACCAGTATTTCACCCTGAGTTTTATGGGAAGAGCTGGCAGCAACAACTATAGTTAAAGTTGCCTAAGACTTTCCACCGTATAGATTCTGTACTTAAAAAGAGAGAAGGATGGAAACTGTACATAAGGGTACAATAAAACATGTCAAGATTAGCAAAGTTAATTTTATCTGTGTTACTTGAAAAACCAGAAGGATTTATTAGGGACTCTGACTTTATATTTTTAAATGCAATGTGACTGAGACTGATATAATTTTAAATAATTATTGTTATGAAGTTCAAAAAATACTATAAAGACGGCAAAGACATTACTTCACTGTATTACTAAAGAAACAATTATAGAATTATCAGTATTTTAACCTGTAAAATATTTTTAAAATATATGTTTTCTGGAAATGTTGAAGTAGAGAATGTATCGTATACCTTCTTGTTTCTTTTCCCAGACCACTCTCTAAAGCTACTGTTAATTACACATTGCAGTACTACTGTGATTTATTAATGCAAGTTACCTTAATTATAACATCTTTAATACTGCTGAAGATGGTGAAGTATATATAATTACTTCTGTGAAAAAGAAAGGAATTATAAGACTCTAAATTACTGTTTTCTGTAATGTATTCCATTATATCAAGTAGTGTTTTCTCCTTTTGCTCACAATACTATTTATGAGCTTTGGTTGCACCTACTTTTGTGTAAGCAGGGGAAGGCATGATTATTTTCCAAATATGTATGTTTAGTTGTTTAGTAACTAAACTTAGTATAGGGTGCAATCTAAACTAATAGAGCGAGTGTGTGGTAGACATATACCTTCACTATAAAAGATTCTGTGGTGCTTTCCTAAGAGATTTCCAAGTCCTAATACAAAGTTCATTGTAGTCAGCAGAATCTCTTTCCATAGGTTTCTGCATTTGGCACTTGCAGAGCTGAAAAACAGCTTTACTATCTGTGTAAATATTGTGGGTAGTCTTGGTATATTTGCTAGTGAGGAATTCCTCAGTCTGCAGCTACATCAAAAGGGACTGTTAGTAATAGTGGCATTAATAAAATCCCTCGAGGAGCTATGGACAAAGCTGCTCTTTGGGGAATGGGCCCCACTTGGCACCATTCAGGGAGGAGCTGTTGGCTGAGGATTCCTAGTCCATTACAGAACCCTTTTCTAAAGAAGGGAAGGGTCTTGAAGGAACTTCAGGGAGTCGGTACTCTGCAATATTTGAATTGCATGTGTCCAAGGAGGCGTAAGCTATACAAAGAGCAAAAAGCTGAGATACACAGACTGTCTCAAGTTCACGAGGGTTAGGAAGTCTCCTGTTCACATGGCATTTACGATGTTTATGGGTCTCATGTTCCCGCAGCTTAGGTATAGATTCTCTGTATCTGGTCTGTAATGGAGAGATTTAGTTGGAGCAGCCCAGAGCACAGCTAGAACACCTGCATGGTGGGGTTCTGGTCTCTGAGCTCTCTTTTATGTAGCACAAAAGGTGTGCCCCTACAGTATTGGTAGGATCCACAGCAAAACAGCTGTAACTTAATTTCTGAGGAAAGGAGACTGTTGAGATTAAACCACGTGTGATGGAGGTTTGTGCTGAATGGCAGGAGTATGTAAGATGTGGCTAAGATCCATTCCACTAAAAATAAATGTGTATGTACAGGTTCTGCACCTGAATTTATCACCTTAGCTCTCATTAAAGGGGAGAAGTGTGCATCTCTGTGTCATGATTTGTCTCATTCTGAGATGGGTGTTTAAAGTGGCTCAGTTGAGTCTCAGCCAAAGAAATACCCATATCACTCTTTCTGGCTGTAAGGGGAACTGAGAAAATTTTTGTTCAGCTGTAAATATCTATACTGTAAACTGCTTTTTTTTTACTGCTTATGGTTGCTGCAGAGATTCTTGAAAAGGAACTCTTGCAGATCTGGATATAAAGCTTGCTGGGCACATATGCAGTCAAAGTTGGCAACAAAGGAGATAATCAGACACAGTTTGATTATGAGTTGCCACCCTGATGACAGATAAAAGCAGGGATGTGTTACTTCAAGGTGCAGCTGAGGGAAGAATGTCTTACTGCTGTTGCATGGGAAAAATTGTTATATCCTCCCTCCCTGTGTACTAAGTTGTTACTAGGCCTATGAACATCTGTATTTGGAAGCACTGGAATTTATGTCTTTTTTATGTCTTGACTTGGATGAAAAATATGTATATCTTCTGTCAATTCAGACAGTACTCTATCATCTGCTGCAGAGAGAGCTCGGAGAGAGCTCACAAAGGTAAACGATCCAGTGTTCTGGAGGATACCTGCCTATTTGCCTGTGGTAGTTGAAGGCACTTAGGAGTGCTCTCCTTACCATGCCAGGTTTCCCTTAAGACTAGCTGGGTGGGGCTCTGTGAGAAGGGAGAGGGTGACAGATGACTATTTATTGTTCTCCACAGCAGCAAGATAAATTGCCATTTTGACTCAGAGGACCTGAGATCAGTCAGGAGCCTTCCCCTTCATAAGCCTTGAGAAGCTCCAGGAAGCTGGCACCAGTGAAGAACTGAGGACCAGCAGAGTCTGTAGGTAATGTGCTGGAAACCAGGGACTATCCATGGTGTGATCTTACCCCAGATCTACCCATGACAACTGTCTGTTATACCTGATAACATCTCAGCACCCAAAACAGCCCGCTGCTATTACCAGGCCTGGATGGATGAAGTGGAAGGCAAGCTTGAGGAATAAGTATTGTGTTATTATATTGAATAAATTGTAGGCTAGCAGTTGTTGTTACAGATTAAACAGAATCCAAATGACTTAACACCCATGGAATCTCTGCCTGTTGTCTTCTTCTCCTCTTAGTCTACTCTTCTCCTTAATCTCTTTTTTTATAACCTCTATTTTATTATAAGTAATATTGTGTGTATTCAGCAATTAGGTTTACTTGCTGATCACCATAAACTCAACTGCCACTAGTACTTGAGGAGGTACCAGAATCCCTCTAGGGAAAGCCACAGGAGACTGCTGCTTTGAAAAGTTAGGCTACCTTAGCAAGAACTAGGTAGTACAGCATCTGTGGAGGGTCACTAGAAGCTGATTTCCTTGTTTTTTGTACCATGATCTGCATTAGGCTGAAATGACTTGTCTAAGATCTTAAAACAAGGTAGTGACAGAGCTGGAAATAATCCCTGAAGGCAAATGCTCTTTGTAACATATTTTCTGCAATTGTTGCTTTATTTGGGTACTTTCTGGTTGATTACTGCAAGTTAAAAAAATAAAATTTCTGCATTACGGAACTTTTGGCATCCACATTTGATTTTAAATCCAAGGATGTCTGTGTCTATGTCACTACTCATCGACTTTCTTAAATCCACCTTACATGTAATTTTTAAATTTTCCTAGCTATAACTCAACTGATTTCAATTTGTTTGTTCAATTGTAACTTATATTCTGAAGAGATGGGGCAGACTGTGGTCCAATAAAAAAGCAAGTAACAAAAAGATGTAAGAAAGCAATGACTTAAACATGGTGTGATACACTACCATTAACTTTAAAGCTTATTTAGTGCTTCTCATTCTAATTCCTTTATAATGATACAGGTTGAAAGTCCCTTATATTCCCCAAGACTCTGAAACAATCTAATGTCTAAGATTTTAATCTGCTTGAAGTCCCTGGCAAATTTATTTTGGACTTCAGTTCAGAAATTATCTTTTGTGCTATAGCCTATAACTTAACCCATCATCTTCATCCCCTAGCCTTAGAAACAGTTTAGCCTGAACAAATAACAAATGCCCTACAGAAATGGGTTTAGACATTAAAATCATCTGTCCTGCCTTCTCCTGTGCATCCTGGAGTTACAATATTAATACTGTACAAAATACAACCCTATTGTCATAGAGGTAATAATATTAAGTGTTAGGCTTGTGAATACAAAGTGAGAGTTTATTCTGTTTTCTAGCAAATCAGAGGAACAGTGAGATGTTTACTGACAAAAGGTATCTTGCCTGATTTCTCCATGCTTGATACTACATTGGCAGTTATGAAAGTAGAAATTACTGCTGTGTTTTTACACAGAAAGAGAAAATTTAATGCAATTTGGACCTGCCACATTCTCCCTGCCACCCAAATTATTTTAAATTATAAGTAGTTTTGCAAGGCTGTTAGTATCATTTTCTCAGCTCACCCAAAGTTTTTGCAAGAATTATTATCTATGATGAATCACAACATCTTTTATTCATATAGTTATAAGTGCATTAAAGCTGTCAGGTATAATTTGCCGCTTTCTCTCCTTTTGATTCAGCATGCTTTCTGAAAAGAAGCTAATTTAATAACTAGGGAATCTAAGTTTTATAATCAAATTTAT